CGAGAAGTCACTTTCAATACCATTAGTAAATAACAGTTTGAGATACAAATAATCGAAGAAGAATCGAAGAAATTCTTACAATTAGCGAACGCTAATTTTGCTAATACTTTGGGGACTTATATAGCTCGTGTAAATTCTATACGTTTCATAAATCTCACGCGTGGCAGAGCTTTGTTTTCATAAATCTTTCTCTTCGCAGATCCTTGACTGCCGCTGCGTACCGTAGATTGTAAAGGCAATAATTCTCGAGCATGTAACTGCAAGTTTGCAGCTCGTGTTACTACCTCGTGTACATAACAGCGATGGCCCTCGAAATTGTAACTCGGGAACGCGAATTGCGGAGTCACTCGCACGTTACCACGTACAAGCGTGTCGAATCGTTTTGACTGAGGCAGACACATTTTTCGATGACCGCACAAACACGCGAGGCGCGCCCATACGACCGCTTCCTGGCCTCTGAAAAGGGGGGTGGACACACGCTACCTTGCCCGAGAAAGGGAGAGGAAAGAGACGCGTGGGAATGACCTCCTTCATACAACGAGTTACGTTTCAGCATAACGCTCTTAAACCGCTTTCGGAAACAATACACCTAGCTCGCGAAACATTCCGCAAATCCAAACTGTGTTTGCACGATAAACTGTACTCCGTTTATACTTTAGGCAATTACTGACTAAAGTAATCCGCTTAATAGTCATCACACGATTGTCAGAAAAGAGCCATTGTTCTTATTGTTAGGATTATTATTACATCATTACGTTTACATTCCATTTATACAAAAATCTTAAATTGTCTCTAATTATTTTACCGCATATTAATTGTCTAATGTTGTAACGAGGCAGCCTCTAACGGTCTCTCCTTCGCGGTCGGTTTTATCAAAATCTCAATTAACTTCACTCTGCATAATTTACCTGCAGAGATTCTTCCACTTCTAATTCTCCAATTGAGATAGTCGGTTGAAGTTATAACCGATATTGATAAAACCAATCGTAAATCTCTGAATAATCCTCGAGGGAATTCTGGGACCCTGCACCGTCTTCGGGCTCTCTCCGAATAGTCGCAACTTCGAAATTTCATATTCGAGGAATCGACTCGGCGAGACCTCGTCATCGAGATCTCCCGGCGGTACCTTTTGCCTCCTTCGATCGCCTGCCTTTCCCAGATATTCCCGAAATTCAATCATCCTCTCCAACTATTCGCCAAGAGAGCGGCGTCAAGAGCGGAAGTACATCATTCCACTGCCGTTGGTTCCCCCGACGAGGGTCGCCGGTTGGGAGGACGCGCCGCACATCACGCTGTCCTCCTCTTTCCCTACGAGCTACAACACGTGACGCGCGAACACGTGGGAAGGAGAGACCGCCGGCAAAGAGACCTTTCTCTCTCCTCCCTCCACCTGGAGCACGAGCTCTATCTCTCTCTCCTTTCTCTCTCTCTCTTTCTCTCCCTCTTTCCCTTCCGTTTCTATCCTTTGGCAGCCAACAGGTAGAAAGAGAGACAGGTGGCTTGGCGATGTATGCACGATGCCGGGTGCGATACGACAATCCTGAACTCTGGCCAGTGTCCGTGATGACTACCTCGTGAATCGACGTGTCTGTTTGATAAATACAGTGCCCGGTTTCCTTTGTGTCTTTTGCGAAAATATCTGAAGTCTTTATTAATACGATTCTAATTGTATTAGAATTATTGATTATCATTAATGCTTTGTGACAAACATACGAAGTATTTGGATTTATAAATCTTTCAGAATATTTGATTTCTATCGCAGCGTTTAAATAGAATCGTTGAATAATAAATAAATGAAGTAAACTGAATCGCAGTATTTAATAGTGTAAGTTAAGAAAAAGTGATTTCGATGATTCGCATTGTGATTCAGCTATTTCCCACGGTTTTGTGTCAACGAAGAGTTCATTTTTTAATATAATTGATCAAAATAAATATTAATTCAAACAGTTTTTTAATTTAACGTTTGTTAAAATTTAGTAATTAATTTAAACAACATTTTAACGATCAAACAATTTAAAAAATGTAGTGCCTGAAATCTGAAAGTAAAACTTTCAATCAAAATATTCTCTCAATGATATATAAAGCCTCTGTTACAAAAAATCCATTGTGTGTGTATGTTTTATTATAATATATCCATTTATTTATATATTTTTATCTTAATTAGTCTTGAAAACAAAGATACATTTAAAATTTATTTTAAAAGCTACTTTTTAAAATAATAAGAAAATATTAAATTATAATAATAATAAAATAATAAATTAAATATAATCAATTTTATTTTTAAAAAACATATTTTAGCACGAAGAATTTCTAGAATATAAAATTAATTTTAAAATTTTTGATATTTTCTGCAGAATAAGGAAATATCTGTCATATTAATCTTTTTATAATTTATATCATCAAGATAATATTACACCTGACTTCGCGCATGCGAAGCTAAAAATACGGGATGACAAAAAATAATTATTCTATTCAATTTGCTGTTTTAAAAAGTAAAATTGTGTGAATCACATTAACCGTATTATTAAAATTTAGGTACATTTACCAAGTTTGTAACAGATCTCGAGGAAAATATCACTGTGCCCTCGTGATCCGTCGATTCCGGTTTCTCCTTTCGATAGATAATGGATATCGATCGTAATGCTCTACCAAATTCTGTTAGCCGGAAGTATTTGTTCGATAATATTGGCAGGCGAGAGACTCGATGGAAATCATCGCGGCTACTGCTCTGTTGACAAATGGCTACCTATGGTATTGTCGTTAATGATTATTCTCGCTGGTTAATATTTGTTTTCGTTAACAAGATTGAACAGCCATGGGTTTACGACTCCTATCCGTACTGGCTAATTTCCAGTCAAAACAGCAAATTAATATTGAACTTGAAGGTAAATGCCCTGATTAACGTTAATCAGTTTTAATTAAATTATAAATATGTAAATAAAAAAATATATATAATATATGATAAAAAATGAAGTATAACGTAATATTATCTTTATGGTATTTATTTTCTTTACATTTTAATTATATTATACAAAATTAACAAAGATTAACGACCATTCTCGCGCCCGTTAATGCTACACGTTCGAAACGTTTGTACATGGTTCGTGCGACAACGTATTGAAAAAAATCACGTTACAGAGGAAGTTACCTCATTTCCATTTCTTTTCACATTCACGATCCAGGCTTGCTCACATGAGTTCGCCCGTTGATCGACGCATCATCCAACGTATACTGTCCTCCACGCCCTTGCCGCTCAAATTTATACGAAGCATAACGCCATGACACGCCCCGGAAACTCGCATTTCGTGAGAAAGGAAGTTCGCCACCTTTCTTCTCTCTTCTTGCCCTTTCCCCTTTCCTCCCCCGGTATAAATTTTCTACGGCGAACGCGGCGATAAACTTAAGATGAATTCCTTTTCGGCTACGGGACGATAGATAAATAGAAAGCGCAGCTACGTGATTCGAAGCCGCAAGTGCAACACGTATTCGCATCTTCTTCCTCGCCCTCCTGGCCGTTCCCCGCGGATTACTTTCACACGTTTCACGGTTATGTATCTCGCCTCGGTGGTGTCTGAAAGGTAATTCTCCGCTGGGATCAAATTCTCTGATCACTTACGACGTGCGCGCGACAATCAGTGACAATGTGACGCGACGACGTCGCGAGATTGGCTAAACGTCACGTTTCGACGAGACAGATTTATTGTACGAGCTCTATATCTCTCTCTCTCTCTCTCTTTTGATACGGGACATGAATAACTCATCATACTTAACCACGAAACGCATGTACATACGTCGCGCAAAATGCAGGGATCAGATTTAAAAATTGGAGATAAACTAAATTTGCAATATTTCAAAATTTATCGCCCAAAATCGACGTCCTAATCGAATTAGTTTAAATCGAAATATTGTAGAAGATAAAAATTAAATGCGTAATGATATAAATTATTATATCGTTAATACGTTTCTAATTCTACTGACGATAGGACATATTTTTAAAATTTGCAAAATTGATAGAAACGAAAAATATTAAATAAATTTTGTTTAAAAAGCTGTTATTAATACCTTTTTATTAGACCAATATACACTTGTCTATATAATAATCGTCAAATGTCATTTAAGAGATCTAATATCTCTAACACCTGTCTAGCATTTTTATTTATGTATATGTAGATACTTTAACCGACTGCATTACTATGTACACAGTACGTATGGACGTCAGCGCTGCTGAAACGAGCATCCAGGCGTGACATTTTATACGGCTTCCCCTACACACACAAACACATAAAAATGGCAGCGATACATTCACTATAGTATCAGCACAGTCATTTACCGACGATCTGTCGCGCACCTACTTCCGTCATGTGGAAATTTTGCTATTCCACAGCGCATAATCGTTACCGCGCTCTCGCAAATTCCACGACGTCGCTGTCATTCGATCGCGCCAATTATTTCACATTTTGAACGTATCGTATAATGCAAGAAGAACTTCTATCATCTATTTTTACTCTACACAATGGAATTTGTTCACGTTCTATTATTTGCTCCACTAATTACGGAAATAACAGTATTGAGAATTGCTAAAAATATCCTACACAATATGTCTAAAAAAATATGATATTCTGACAGAGTATTCTATTTTGTATATTATTTAAAACGTTAATTTAAAAATAAAATCTATAAAACATGTGATCATAATATCTCATAACGTTAAAAAAATTTTATCTCTTTTCACGAAAAGTGGTAAATTATTTTTAAAATGATAAACATGTTATTTGATTATATGGTATAAAATGAAAAAAATTCAAATATGATGAAAATGTAGAACCAAGGGTTTATAAATCATTGAAGCCACACAGATAAAGATTTTATATAATAATTAGTTTAACAAATTATATTTTTAATACAAGATTTTTACTAATAACAGATTAATTAAGTGTATTAATTATTGTTTTAATGCAAAATTTTAAACGACGGTGATTTATATAGATTAACTGTAAAAAATCCACGAAAGTAAAATGCTGATCGCCAGTGCATCCAACAATCAAACAATTGCTCCTACGTCATCCGTAAAGCTACGGAGATCCCGCCGATTATCATCCACCAGAGGATTAAAGCAACGAACCACCGCAAATATCCCGAAGGATTCTCTTCCTTGCCAAGACCCCCATCGGAAACTCGGTCTTTGTGCCGCATTGAGCGAGAACATCGACGAGGACAACACGAGAGGCAGACTACTGATAAACTGGGAGATGAACGAGAGGATCAGCTTGAGCAGTGGCTCCAGTGTCGGATTGGCGATTCGTCCTGACAGCAGGAAGGGTATCGAATTCAGCGAGAATCGCAGAAGGGAAATTGAAAGTAGATCGAAAATCGTCGAATGCTCGGAACGAAATAGAGAAGCGAAGTCATCGTCATCAACTAAACCGACATTGGAGTTGATGAACGTGTCCGGATTCCCCTCGAATGTCGATCGAAAGCACCGTGGAAGTTCCCGCTCGATTGAGATCGACACGGCGGACGAGAATGTTCTCAAGAGCGATTCGAAGTACGAAATCGGTACTCCTAGTAATCGAGGCTCCGCAACAAGAAAGCAGAGGCAACAGAACACGCTCAGGAAGGATAATGTCGACACGACGAGAAGGTGGACCAAGGATAAGTCCGGTGACTCCATTTCGAAACGGCTGGAATTAATCCACGAGCTCAATCAGAAGATTCTGGCTAACTACGAGAGGTTCCAGCAGAGATCGAAGCGTGCCAAGGACACGAAGGAACAGACTGTCAAGAATTGTGCCAAGGATAGCGTTGATCCCGAGGAACATGTTTATACGGAGATCAAGAGGAGAAATAAAACAACCTGTGGAACGAGAGATCGGAAGAACCAGGGTATTTTTAAGCAGGATATCTCTAACCAGGAAACTTGTAGAAAAGAATCCTCCAAGCGAGATACTTGTAGACAGGCGGATAATAAATCAGTCTTATCTAAAAGTTACTACGAAAGTATCAAAGGCCGAACGGAGAAGAGAGACATTTCAAGAGCTACGAATAAACCCGATCGCAGGATCGTTTGCGAGAACATGAATTTCAGCATGGCGGCTAAGGAAAATTTCTTCTATCAGGCAGACGAGAAGACGCTGCAGCCGTCGAAATATGTGAAATTGAAAAACAAGAAGGGAAGATTGTCAGAGGGAAGTTCGGTCTTCTATGCAAACGAGGACGACGTTCCGCCAAAGGAGAGCGAATCAATTGAGACTCGAGATTGTCTGGAGAATTCCAGATTGTATCCCGAAAGTTGCAATTTGTATAATAACGAGCCGGAGAATGATAGTTCGAAGGAAGATAACGCGAAAGACAACGCTTTGAAGATCGATCGATCCGATTCGCGTGGCGACGCCGAGTCGCGGACGGGGAGCGAGGACGACGTGACGGACGAAAAGATTTTGGAGAGCAAGATTCTGGAAAATCTGGACGAGACAATCGATAGATTCGATAGCGAAAGGACGCAGCTGACGTCCGGGGATAGCAATGAGGAGAAGGATAGCTTCAGCACGGATTCTATACAGAGCGGGAGCCCGTCGAGCGTGAAAGACTCGAAGGACGCCGCTAACCTCCTGGATACCTTCAATTCCTCCTGGGACTCGGGAGTCGGGGTGGACGTCGGCAACGGGAGTGGGTGGGTGAGGATACACACGGGGATCGAGAGCAGCCTCGTATATCTTACTCTGGACACCACAGCTAAGGACGTCTGCAGGGACATGCTGCTGGGAGACGACTTGTCTCTGTTTGTTCAGGTAAACGCCAGTCTCCGCGGCTGATTGTCCCTTCAACTTGCGTGCCAACAACGCGTTCACTTTGTTCCGCGAGAAGATAAAACATCAAATATAAATGAGAAATTCTCGGTCGTGCAGGGTACGCGAGACGTATAATTTCGATTTAATCTTTTACACTCCATAAATACGAAATAATATCTTACGCCTGCTATCACATTCTTATCGCTATAAATTATATACAGCTATATAGTGCTTCTGCGCTCTCTTTAAGTTCTTTACTTTTTATTACAACTTTGAAATCTGAAATCACCGAAATTATAACGATGTTTTAAAATGGCAAAATGCATCCTATCTTCTCTTTTAAGAATTTTTACTTTTAACTATCTAAGACTTCTAAGAGATACCGACAACCTCAAAGAAAGTCAAGGTGGTCCGCGTGCTGTGCGTCACTGTCGGGAGACAAGCGCAGCGTAGTCCGGCTTCTCAAAGATAACGACGTACGCGCGAGTAATCAAAGGAGTCTAAGACTTAAATAGCCGGCCGAGTCGGGGTGAAAGAAGTTTCGGCTCATTGAGACTACTAAAGCTACCGAGCTGAATACTGAGTTAACTATGCTCTTGCATGAAGGACGAGCTCGGTCTATTCCGCGAACCTTCAGTAGCGTACACGTTTAGGTTCATTATCTCGTAATTGTTAATTGGCCGCAAACAGTTAATTAATAATTACATTTGACTTTATACAAAATCAAATATCAACATTTAATTAAGTCTTTAAACCTATAAAAAATAGCAGCAGTTTACGTTAAGGATCCCCTAAATAATATAACTATTAAAAATAATAGTTATAAGATTCGCATTAAAATTTATAATTAATGTTTCCACGAAACATAGCAAATAAAATATTATATAAAAAGCAAAGCGTTTATTAACAAATAAAATAATATACATTGGTGTAAGATGCTATACTAATATGGTAACATATTGAAATCATTAAGATACTCGGAAACTTCGAAATCGGTAGAATAAATTAATTTATAATTTATAATTTATATTATATACATGTCTATTAATTAAAATATTAATTTATGATAATAATTTACGATATTCTCTAAAAGTTACATATAATGTATTTAATATTACTGTCGTCCTTTCATTCCCACTTAATTAAATAACAATTTTGGAATTATTAATTAATGAAATTATTATTAAAATATATAGAAATAATATTGATTTTAATTCGTAACGTACTCGCACATGTGTTATTGACATACAGGTTCTGACTAAAATATCTTTCTATAAATATCTGTATATTTGCAGTATTGCTTTATATAAATTTTCTTTGTGTACTGTATACAAAATCTTGCTACTTAATGCGCGATAATTCATCTCACCTCAACATATTGAATCCGCAGCGTTTTTGCGAAATATATAGATGTATTTGTCAGTTATCCGTATTATTCGCATGGTTGGTTGCTTGAGCAGCTTTCATGCGCGGCAGAAAGGCAGGTCGACACTTTCCGTGGACTTTATCCGCGTACTCCTTTCAGTTTTTATCTTTTAAAATCTATATCTGTCTAAATAGTTGCACTATCGACATATTCTAATATAACTTTAATGTAATTATTCCGCGAATACGTATGTATTTACAACAGATATTGAATATTTAAGTCTTCATTCGCCAATTAGTAAATGAAAAAAGAGATATTGTGTGGTCGCTTGATTTTGACAGTCGTGAAAAAAGTAAACGTGCGTCAAAAAAAATATTTTCCACTTAATAATTTTCGAGTTCATTCACATCACCCAGTATGTGAGACAGACGTATACTAGGTCACGATCGCCACATGCGAGCAGAATTTTTCCGGAAGACAGCCCTCTCCGCAAAGTTCCGCGGAAGCAATAGAGGAGCCTCGACGCGCTCGTCGAAGAATGTCTATATTTTCGACGCGCCGAGGATATTAAAGGTTCACCGGCTGCCGGAGGAATCTACTGCTGCAGCAACGCCAGTGCACTTATCGATGAAGATTTTCCTTCGATCCGACCGAATCCTCGTACCGTAAACACGCGCGGCGTTATCGCGTTGAGAAACAAAAGCGATTCAGATCCACCGAATGTTCTCTCGATCACTGATACTCGCGGTTACCAATATTACAATCAATAAAGGCAAACATCAATTCTTCAATGTCAGCTCTATATAAACTTATCGAATAAAGTAATCGGTCACGTTGAAATCTTATAAGCGGCCCCAGTGCTGAGTAAATATATCTCAATCCTCTGTCTGTCCGCCGGTTGAGTTTGATCACAGGAGAATAACATTACCGCGGCGAAGGCCGCAATACAGACGCAAAAATGTACGAACCAGTATTGCCATGACAGTTGATCTAATATTTCGAAAGCTTTTCTCTCTCTTTCTCTCTCTTTCTCTCTCTCTCTCTCTCTCTCTCTCTCTCTCTCTCTCTCTCTAACATAACATTCGGCCAATACTGACCTACAACAATCTGACTGTTGTGCGATAATAGGAAACGTGTTCCCTTAAGGCTCTGGATTACTCATTGTAGTTATATTGGATTACAACATTATTAAGCGAGAAATTACATGTAATTTCCTCTCCCATTGAAATGTTAACTCTCGCAAATGCACTTGATATATCAGTACGTGAATATTCTGGCGAGCGTTGACCTGAATATAGACATTGTAATTCCGGTTGTTAACCAGTAACGGATTATTACCGAAACAATATTGACCGTTAAGGTGTGATCAACACTTGAGAAACACATACTAGGATTCGCGGCGGTTTCTACGTGCGAATCTTCGAAATATTGCATAAAGTAACGATCTAGCTTAAAGCTAGAAAAATAGGGCAAAAGTAGACCGCGATAAGGCGAACACTCAAAATCCAACATGCGAAACGAACCAAGCATTATTTCGGAGGATCCCCGCGGGATTCGCGAGACTGTCGCTGTCGACGGGAGAGATCCCGTAGATCGAAACTCCGCGTTCGTCCAACGATTGTTATTGGTCGACGGAGGAGATCGATGCGCGAGTAAAGAGGACCATTCCACGGAAAACAAACGAAAGATTCCGCAGATCGTGGAATCTCTTGAGAGATGTTCCGCCAGGGTCGGAACTGCAAGCGAGAAATTTTTCATTTCACGTTAGAAAGGATTCAAAGTGAGCGTATTATAATTAAAGTAATACAGCAGTATGCTTTTGTTGATATCTTTAATGTCCTGAAAAATGAAATAAAATACATGACATAAAGTTTCAATAAACTACAATTAAAATTAAATGTGGACTAAATATCGATATTGTGTATGTAACATGAGATGGCTAAAATATGAGAGATTTACGTGTAAGGAGTAAAAATTTATGCCGTCTTAGCTCTTTCTCGGTGTAAGACTTAAATAATTTAAAAGTCTTCTTGCGTCGGCCCTGCTTCCTTCCCGAGAGAAGCATCGTAGCGCTTTGGGAACAAACATGCACGAAGACGGACCGTACGATAATGAATTCAACGAACGTATAATGCAGGATTTAACGTCGTAAGAAAAATACTTGGTATTCCTGTCAAGCGGGAGCCAACCTTCGAGTTGAAAATCATTTGCAGCAGACAGATTCTCTCTGCGTTTCCAGTATTGGTTGTACTATTATTTTTATTCGTGTGCTCTGTAACAGTTAATCCGCTGTATATTTCCATAAAAAGGGAATTATCAATTTTGCTTGCGGAAAAAAATCCGTAGACGAAAGGGAGTGCCAATCGTTTGAGAGAACTGTGCGTCTCGGCGTATCTTGACGCTCTATTAACATAACGTACGAAGGCTCGGGGCGCAGGGGATCAGTATTTATTACGTCTCTCCGCAAACTGGATCTCGCTAGGTAATCGTGCAAACTTGTCATACGTTACTATTCCGTTTCTAAATACTCTGCGGAACACAGATTATTCCACATCGGGATTATGGAGTCTGGCGCACCGAATTAGAGTGAACTAGACGCGGAAGAGCTCGTTTCCTACAATAGTAGTGTGTTTCGAGCTCTCGACAGCTCTGACACGTCAGACTCATCTGTCAACTCGTAGGAACAATGCATAGAGCTAGGAAGACTTATGCGAGAACAGTTCAAGTTGCTTCTCGGTTTGATCGCGAGACAGTTTTCCCCTCCTCATTGAGGGTTGAAATGCGACGGGTTGACGGCTATCGTGAAATTTTACTTGCAAACTGTAACGTTCTCGACTCCCCGAATGAGATTTTTTTATCCAAATAAAAATCTTGTTTATTCAGGGTTTTTATCTGCTCGTCTTATAAAGTAAATTACACAGAGTTCATGGATTACTTTACTAAAGGTTTTTTTTTATTTGTCAATAATAATTTAAAAATTTTCTGTAGAAAAAATTGAAGAATTTGAATTTAAATATTTAGCTTATATCAAAATAATTTGACAATGATAAAATTAAAGTTAAGCAAAGATTTTTTTTTTGATCAGAATTTGCTTATTCAAACATTTTAAAGAAAAACAACTAAGTTATCTCGGAAATAAAAAATACGTATAAAGGAAATTTTATCCTTATGAAACATTAACCATTACTGAGATCTTTTGTAATCTTGTAATTGAGACAAAATCCGATAATCCTGAAACTCTCTTTATAATAAGCTATGAAAGAATATACACTGCTTAATTAACTTGATATTTCAAAAGCTGAACTGTTGTTATACATATCCGAAGGTAACAAAGATAACGAAATAAAAAGTTTTGATAACGAATCAAGGCAAAAAAACTTCAGACGATAATAATCATTTTATGGATCGACGAGACCGTGTCTCTAATGAAAGAAACGTCCAATTAGATTCGGTATAATCAGTGATAATAACCGGTTACTTCAATAATCATCATTTGTCGGTTCGAATCAAGATTGTCCCAAAAACACGTTACAGATAAACTAGCTTTTAACTCCTATTCTAACATAGACGACAGAACCTTTTACGGCTAATTAAAATGGCGATTTGTTACTTCCATCTTGCAAATGCTCCATTT